TGACCCTCATGCTCTGTATCCTCACAAAGCAGGTTGTGTGTGTGTGTGTGTGTGTGTGTGTGTGTGTGTGTGTGTGTGTGTGTGTGTGTGTTCTATGGCTCACAGCCACACTGCGGTCCCTGAGAGACCAAGTAGGTCTAACTTGTCACTTTTTGCTCAGTAAACACCTGTTAGTGTCTTACAGTGAGGAGACATCTGTAGGGAGATGTGACAGGGTGGCTTTGGCAGGGTGTCCTTGCCAGCTAATAGAGTTGATTGCAGGTGGAGGTGGCAGGTGGCAGACCTGGTGAGCCGAGCCTTGAGGCCAGGAGCAGGGTTGGAGACCCTCACCATTTTCTCAGGGGACCCTCCTTCTCAGGACTACGCCTCATTTCCTGGCCGATCCCTACCTCTGGTGGACTCCCAGCTCTCCTGGTGTCCCTAGGGGAAAGCTAGTTTTCCTCAACAGACAGCTTGGCTCACCCGGCCCTCCCACCCCGGGGCCCAGCACTCACTCTCCTTGTCTGTGGGTGGCTGCAGGGAGTAGAGGACGCCTTGGGGACTGTTTGGCAAGAGGCTGGGACTGCCTGCTGGGCCAGGAGGGCCTGGTGGACCAGGGCGCCCCATCTCTCCAGGAAGCCCGCGTGGGCCCGGCGGCCCCAAGAGACCTACAATGAGAGGAAAGGATTTCAGTGAGACTGACGGTGGTGATGTTACAGACAGGGGAGAGGACTGGCCAGGGTCATTGGGCACTCAGTGGACACACACAGGGTTTAATTAAACCTGACAGGTTTAACGAGAAGGCTTCCCCTTCCTGGTCCCCTGCAGAGAGGACACAGGTCAGCGGAGGATGGACCTGATGACGTTAGTGGAATCAACAGTCTCCAGCCGATGTCGTGGGACTCAGGAGGAGTTTAGCTCTGGAGTAAGGACCGAGGGTGGAACAGTCCTGAGCAGAGGTTGGTGCTCTGCAGCACGCAAGGAATCATGGGATCACGGGATTCCTGAATGGCGTTCCCGGTGCTTGGAATAAACCCCTGGGCCTTAGCAGCCCTACCCTACCCCCAAAAGGTCCCTGTAGACTCTTGTCCTGAGGCACCCCTGAGATTGGTCAGGGGAGGAGGGTGAGAAGAGAGGGAATGAATTTGGGGCTAACAAGCAAGATTGGGGTACACGGAATGCCACCCATGCTCAGGTACAAAGCAAAGCACAGTCTCTTTAGTTCAGGGGACAAGGGTTCCTTACCTGGAGGTCCCACTGGGCCCTTCTCTCCTGTCTGGCCCCGGTCACCTTTGGAACCCGGGGGCCCGGCAGGCCCTGGTGGTCCCATCTGTCCTGGAGGTCCTGGGGGAGGGAATAATGGGAGAACACTGGATTGATGCCAAGGAGGCTCCAATTCTGGTCACATTGACTGTGTTAGCAGGGGCTCCACCACTGAGCCACACTACCCCAACCCCTCACTGGGGGATTCTAGGCAGGTGCT